AAGAAATATTTGTTTGCCCTAGTTGTGGATATACAGAAGACCGAGATATTAATGCAGCTAGGAATATTCTGTGAAAAACACAGAAAAAGTTAAAAATAGGAGAATTTGCTCCAAAAGGCTAGGAACTTCGCTGGCTGAGTCAGTATAGCCTTGGCATGATTGGGGCTGGTCTAACTAGTTCAATCCTCTACGAAACCCCATCCTCAAACTCGTTAAGAGTTAGGTGGGGGGTAGTTCATTGTTATTCTTGTTATGACTTTTAGTTGTGATATTAGAAATAAAATAAATTATTATGAAAGTTCGTAGTTCCATTAAAATAATGTGTCAGGAAGGTTGCCAAGTAATTAAAAGGAAAGGTCGCCGTTATATCTATTGTCGCAAAAATACTCGCCACAAACAACGGCAAGGTTAAGAAAATATTCTTTCTCTCTGCCTCCTAAAAATAAGTTTATGAAGTATTTATGTATCGACCCTTCTGGCTCTGGAATAACTGGCTTGGCTTATTATGATCAAGCCCAGAGTAGTTGAGAGTTTGACGAAGTAAAAAGTGTGAATTGAGAAGAACATTTTTTATACATACTCAATTATTGCCAACAAAAACCTATCAGCACTATTATTTATGAAACTACTAACTACATTAGTTTAACCAATCGTAGCAAACATATGACTAGTTTATTTAAATTATTTGGAGCCATTGAAAGTTTAAAATATTTTCTCCCGACCCTGAAAGAGTGCCAAACTTTTCTAGTTAATGTGGTCAAGTCTTTGTATAAAGCCATTTATCAAGGCAAAAAGAAAATAACAGGACTGACTTACAAAAAAGGACGGGGAGGTGGTTGATTATATGAAAACCAAAGGTTAAGTTTACACCAATTAGACGCTTTTTTACTTTATCAGTTAAAGAATAATTAGTTTAATCTACGTTTTCTTGCAATCACTACTGCTATTAATCCTATCAACGCTAATACTGTTCCCCCCATAACTAATTTAGGGAGGAAATCACTACTAGAATCATAATTTTCAGGTTCATGCTTGTCTATTTCTTCTCGAATTTGAGAATTTGTTTTTGAGTTATAATCATTATTTTTTTGCAAAGAGTTTCAAGGGAAAAAATTATTATCTGTCTTTATTTCCTTACTATTATTGCTTTGTTTACTTAGTTTTAGCTTCTTTCGTTTAACTTCTTCAATAGCGACCAGTATTTGCTTTTTAAAACTTTCTAATTGGCTAATTTCTATTTCTCATATTTTTTCTATCCAATTTCTATAAGGATTTCACAGATCTGAATCTAAATCGTTTTCAAACACTACTGAATTAAACTTGCTGTTTATTTCTTAGAAAATTTTCTCGCGGATTTTTTTTTTATTTCATTGTTGATAGTCTTCATTATTTTCCCCCCCTTTTTCTGATTGATTAGCTTGTCTTTGCTGAGCAGTAATATTTCGCAAACTTTTTCTTTGTTCTTCTTCCTGTCACTGTCTTTGTTGAAACTTAATTCTCCTAAAAATCTCTTCTATCTCTTGGATAATGTCATGAGAACAAAAAGAAGCATTATTTTTACTAGTCTTTAACGCTTGCTTTATACTACTATTTTGCCCGGAAGAAAAGCCAGCCGAGAACATTACTTTTTCTTCGCCTCTTTTTCGATAATTTTCTTGATAACCTGTTGAATAATCGCCTATCATTATTTCTCAATCATCTTTCTCCCTAACGATCATTTCTACCATCTTATTTCTAATTTCTTCATAATCATTTACTGCTTTTTGTCCAATATATTTATCACTATCAATATTAAAAAAATTGCCGTGGCAATCAACAACAAATTTATCTAAATTATTCAAAATATGGTGTTGATTTTGTCGTTTTTTCTCTGGTGTCATAATAAGATTTTTTAATGACGAAGCGGAACTTCTTGTCGTTCTTCATATTGTTGCTGATAAATTTGCTCTAACTCTAATTTTAATTTAGTAATTTTTTCGCACTTATGACAAGTTTTTTCGGTATCAACCACATTAACTCCTTTATTAAGAATTTGCTGCTTAAGTTGTTTTCAGCAGTGCGAATATTGGTTTGATTATAATCACAATAAGCATTAATTAATTCTTCGTAGTAGTTACGTAAATTATGAATATTTTGGCGATCGACGCCTAACTGTTGAATAAAAGTTCCTAACTTTTCCTCTTTTAAGCTTATTTTTTGACTCAAAAACTCTTCTCGAGAGATATTTAATTCTCCTTTTAATTCTTTAATTTTATTAACCTTTTCTTCAATTTCTTTATTTTTCTTTTCAATTTCACCATCTTTTTTGTTGTTTTCCAGTTTTAAATTACCAAACAATTCTCCTAATTTTTTTAACTTTTCCTCACTTATCGTTCATTTATTTTGATAATCATCACGCTCATTTTGGACTTTAGCTAATTCTTTTTTGCCTCAATCTATGGTGTCATCTTTATCTTTTACTAATCAGAACTTTTTTCTAGCTCTCCAATTTTCCTTTTGGTCTATATGAAAATAAGGTAAAATATGCTAGAAATTAAAAGTAATAATTCTCAAAATAAAAAAAATGTAAACTTAAATAAAAATACGACTTTAAAAAATAAAAAAAGAATCTGTAAAAAATGTGTCGGTTGTGGCGATAATTTTACTTGCCCTAAAAAAGATGACTTTGATTACTGCTCCTCTTGTAAACTAAACGGCAATCGCTATATTCCCGGTCGGCTCACCAAAAACAAATGCCTTGAATGCGGAGACGGAAAAGGAATAATCCAATTCCCGCACCAACCAGTCAGGAACTGTAAACTTTGCTATCTAGCTCGACAAGAAAAGGGGGAGGAGAATATTTTCGCTAAATAAGATGCCTAAACTCCACGAACTAACGGGCCAAATCACCAGCAAAGAACCCCGTAAAGTCTATGATAAAAAAAGCCCTTATCACGGTAATACTCATTATAAACTCCAAGCTCTCATTGAGAATAAAAAGAAAGAAGAAAACCTCTTTGTTTATCCTAATTTAGTTAGCCCAGCCATCTTTCAGACCGTGGAACAAAGTCAGTATATCGATAAAAGATATCTTTTTTTTTGCACCAAAAAAGCCAAAGGGTGAGTTTTATATCGGTGGGAAGAATTGCCGCCGCTAATTACTTCCTCAGAAAAGTTAGAAAATCATGACCAAACACCTTAACACCACCGAAAAGAAGTTGAAATTCCATTGCTCAGTTTGCTCTGCCACTTGGCAAT